AGGTAGCAGCGGTTGATAATGGTGGCGAGGAAAGGACCATCTATGCATTTTTTGAACCCAACCACATCATTGCGGTGAGGCTACCATATCTATCTATCTACCTATCGGCTACCTCATCGGCCGTCGTAATCCTCGTGAGGGCGAGCGCGAGGAGTCTCGTAGTTAAGTTAATAAAGCCCCAGCGCCATTGTCGCACACTTTGCGTGCTACTCTTTAAAACAGAGGAACAGGTTGGCTCGATCCTGCTGGGGTTGTTGTTTCAAGTAAGACCGGTGTTCAGTACCATAAAATGGCAGGTGATTTGTGGAAACTAGACTCCAAGCTTTCTGATTCATTTTTGAAAAACATATATTACAGGTCGGATACGCGATATCCGAATTCGAATGAGGCCTACACCCAGCAGCTTATCGAGATTATAAAGAAGCCTGGACAGTCGCTTGGTCTTTACCTGAGAGAAGGAAATGGCGTTGACAGAAGTCACGGTGTATTTGCTAGCCGCTTTGGAGAGAACTCCGAACTGGAAAAGTAAGTCGTACCGCTCTCCTGTATTCTTTTTTTTTCGACACAAGCTGTTACCTCCAAGTCGTCTTATTTTTCTTTCCAGCTCTCACATTTTCTTTTCAAGTTTCCACATTACGGCTCCCACCGGCTCTCTTCCGTTCTATGCAATCTTTTTTCAATTTCTTCCGTTGAATGTCCTAAGTTATATATTAAACAACGTTCGGAGCCGAAGGAGTGGTGTTGTGAGGGAACGGATGTACATCTAAGATTTTTTTTTAGTTTTTTTCGGCGTTGTTTTTCTTAGAAATCATGAATTTGTGAGAGGAGAAAGTGTTGGATTTCCGTAAATCACCTGTTCCTGTGAATCAAGCATTACAATAGGCTTAACGGGAAGCAATATCCGTGTCTCTCTATACATATTCGGTTTAAATTACGCGATAACTTCTTGATGGAGCGACGCAAGAATCGCAACCACCCCATTTGTACATTTGAAACACTGAATATGAAACAAGTGGAATCAAACAGTCGTCATTCAACCATCACCATCAAGCAGAAATGGCGACGGGATTGCAGATAGTATTGCGATTCGCGCGACGGACCGCGGACTCTGGCACCACCTAATCGGGCTTTTTGTGCACGTGTGCTGTTCGGTGTTTTGCGTGAAATATTTCCGCTGCTTGTATAGCTTCCATTTATCCGAACTTGTCAACTTGGTTTCATGCTGAAGTAGTCTAACGAATTGTGTTGCAGATACGGTGACGTAATTCGACCTGGCGATGAGATTCTCTCCATCAATAATGTCGAGTCTCGTCCATGTCCATAGACGATGTCGTGCTAATACTGAGTATTCCGCGAAGGCTTTTGCTGCGGATACGGTAACTATGTTTCCGAAACCTTTTTGGGATATTTTTATATCAATCGATTAATGAAGCCATTGATTTGAGGATAAAAGGTTCAAGTAGTGGTTGAAAAATCAATTCCTCCTGTTCCTTCTTGGACTTCATTTCTGCTTTTGAAGAGATGGGAAACACCGCTCGAGGATCAGAAAAGCAACACTGAAGTCATCCCGAGCGTCATTGTCGTGTTCATAAGGATAATATTATCATCAGCTTACTTTCTTTCGCGTCTCATTACTTTTGAACGTGTCTTGTTGTTTTGTATATTCTTTTACAAGTCTAAAATCTGACTCAATTGTTTTTCTGTAATTTTCGCCAAGCGCGGTGGAGGTTTTTCTTGGAAACTCAGATTTCACGGGAAAGGCTTGCGTTTTGATTGCATGAGCATGCAGAGATGTCAGAAATACGATATCATGAGTGCCCAATGGTTGTTTCTAAGTACGAGAAACTTTGAAATCGTTGACTAAAGCAGAGATTATTTTTTTTTCATGAAGCGCTAGGGGAGTTTATGGAAATAATTTCCATGTTTCGCTTACACCTCTTAGCTATTTCCCCGTTCGAAGTCTTGTAGAATAAAATTAAATTGCGCACCTAACGTGCAGTAAATCTCATCTTATTGTCCCAGGCGGAGCCTTTTCCGTTTAGTTATGGTATCTCTCGTGGCAGGAATGTTGTGTAATGCAAATTTTGCTCCACCGTTTTGGCTGGTTATTAATTAAAGAAGTTGGATTGTGGCATTTTGCTCTCATTATTGTAGTTTTCATCTTCGCCTCCTCTGCAGGCGGTCGGCGTTGCGACACTAGTGGGCGATAGCTCACTTTGGACGTCTTGAGTTCACTTATTACATTGTATGTATGTGTATGTACTGGCAGCCGCGAACATGGAAGCGGCAGGGGGGGAATGTCAGCGTTTGCGGAATTGCAGTGCGATCTAGACGCCAATCCACACGAGTGCCGCATAAGATCGCAGGTTACACTATCCATGATGGTTAGAGTAAGCCTCTACGCCGTCGATTGAGATTTTGCAGAGCTGCAATGGAAAGAAGGAAACAGTGAGATGCAAATATTCTCTGATTTCACGTCTGTGCAAAACCATACAGTAATCACTCATTTGACGTAATGTTGCGTATCTTTTCCAGCCACATAAAATCAAATGTTATGGCTTGGCCTACGATTCAATCGTTTACGCCTGATTCCACTGAAAAGAAAATTGGAAAACACAAGAAACAAAAACATTTGAATAATAGAAAGCTGGTTTTATTACTTTATCAGTCATTTTCGTCGCATGTTACTTGTGATTCGTGCGGCGGGTTGCATAAGGCGCCGGATCGTGTTGCGACTTGCGCGTCTGCAGTTGCGATAGTGGTGCGGCAAATTTTGATAGTCCTGCAAGAGAGGATTGAACGATGTTTAACATACGGACGACAGGTGCGCGGCGCTGTGTTCGCTTCGTAGGCCACTGAGGTACTGGACACTGTTTGCACGGTCTCACCCTTGTTATCTCATTTTCTCGCGCTTGCCAGACCACTTCCTGAGTTCTTTATACTTATTCTATAGATCATCATCTGACATAACTGTAAACGACGACATGGTTTGTCATATGGTCAAGTATGCTTCAAGTTAGCAGAGGCCGGAATTCCAAAGTCATCTCCAGAACTATTCTAAGCTCATCATCAAATATCTATCGGCCTAACTGAACAATGCAAATGTCGATCCCTTCCCAACGCAAATCGAGTTCTTGAATCTGTCATGATATACACATGGATCAAATCAGAGGGTTCAAAGCAGGGTCAACCTTGTTACGAGTAACAACAGGGGTCGTACTCAGTTGAGCTTGGAGGGGGGTCGTACTCTCTCGGTGGCCGGCAGTGATATTCTTGGTAATATCGGATATTAGCTAGCAGGTTACGTTTTTGTAAGATGACTGATACTGGAGCATCTAGTAAGTACGGGCGTGAAACCTAAGAAAACCCGCATTTTCGGGAAAATGCGCTTGAAGAGAAACCCTCAAAAAAAGTAACAACGACTAATTTTTGAACTGCTGATTTTCAGGAACGCTTGGGTGCTCGTTAGAAAGCTTGAATCCTGTAGTTTATTATACCGTGTTCAGCTTCCCAAATGAATGACTTTGAAGGAAGTTATGATCGTTTGAAGGTAAAAAGTCGCGGTTCCAAAAAAATAGTAACGCAAACCCCCAAAAAAGTAACAACGGGACTAATTTTTGAACTACTGATCTTTCAGGAACGCTTGGGTGCTCGTTAGAAAGCTTGAATCCTGTAGTTTATTATACGTGTTCAGCTTCCCAAATGAATGACTTTGAAGGAAGTTATGATCATTTGAAGGTCAAAAAGTCGCTTTGCACAGAAAAAAGTAACAACGTACTAAATTTTTATTAAATTAACTTTCGAAGAATTTTTACCCATGGTTGGAGAGAGAATAATTTGAATTTTCCAAATCAAATCACTTCGGCGCAGAAGCTCGAATATGAAGGAAGTTATAGCCTTAGAAAGAGGGGTGTAAAAATTGTGTTGCAATTGAAGAACGTGAAGGATTTCAGTATTTCAATTGGAGCGATAATTTTTTCTGACTTCTCATAAGTTTTTATCAGGTAATATTGTCAATATTCCGGTCACTGGTTCAGTTTATTCATCTCCTAGTTTGGTAACCCTTTGGAGTACACGGATATCTTTGAATGCATCTCATTTTTTCGTGTTTGGAAGCAGCGATGAATATCTGTCGTGGATTTTGCTAAAGTTTCATCTTTGATGACTTACGTAGAAATAAATATTGATGGTAAACACTGTCTCTACACAAGTGTCACATACAAGGGGGTCGTATCAAATCACCCATGAAGGGGGGGGTAAAAAATTTCCAAAGAGTAACAACGATAGGGTTGACCCTGCTCAGAGTACACGTGGAATCAACCTTTCTTATAGAGGCTATCACCGTATGTATAGGTCATACGCCTCGTTTCGTGATACAGGAGGGGGGGGGGGGGGGTGGAAGATAAAGAAAAATCGTATGAAGGCATTACTATCCTCCCCTTCTGGAGCAGGTTACTCACACTTTGTCACATTCAAATCGTGTGATTCCAACTTGAATATTGAAGAGCTACATTTCCACTCTATCACAGAGTTTCATGAGAGCCTCCTACCCCGATGATATCAGAAGATTTTTCTTCCCAATCATGGTGCACAGTATTAACTCAATGAAGTCGTTGACTGATCGTGGACCATCACGACGTCTCTAGAAACCTATCCACCAGCTAATCGAATGAAGGAATTATGTGGCAGCTTCGTGCTGGAGCGATCACGATATGCCTTCTAGAGCTCGACGATGACGACAGATGACGTCGTATTCTGAAGACGGTGAGGGCAGTGAAAGGGGCCTGCTTTGCTCATATAGGGACGTTCGAGGA